TTCTAAAAGTTAACAAATACTAGTTGTATGGGGTAAAATTGGTTAGCGACATTTGGACAAATGACGAGAAGACACGTGGAACTGAAGAGGGGTAATATGTGAGTCAGCAAATAGTTGGCACTGATACAAGCATGTGATCGGTACTGTGTGAATTCTGAAGGCATGGGAACCGATAACAAAGATTTGTGTTCACTCCTAAATTCGAGTAACAATTAAACTTATATTGTGGTTTTAAGGATATGTGATTTAATCCAACGCAAATTGATAAGCAAGGAATTAAATAGATAAATTAGAGGATAAAATAAATCAAACCAGTATGCAAGCCAATATCTCAACATCGACCTATGGTAATATCGAGGTGTAATAATGAGAATATCAAATGATAAAGCAATTTTGTTGAACAGCAAGCGAAATAGCATGAGAGCAATAAGAGTATATTTTCTTAGCAGTGAATAATAATGCTTACAAATGTATGGAATTCCCCTTTATATAATAGGGGAGTCCTAAATAAGGTACACTTCTAATAATAGTAGGAAATCATATTTGACAACTGATTAACCGCCGAGGATCAATCTATTCTGAAATTCACGCCGTGATCTTCGATCTGTTGCGGGTATCTCGCTCTTTCCATCACTGAACTATACCGGCATCATCTCGAAATATGCCTTCTTCTGACCTCTGTAAGTGATGTCGACCTCGAGCTCGACGTCCTGGTTTTCCGACTTGTTATCACTTTTTTCCATCGAAGGACGAAATCGGGTAGCCCCGATTTCCAGCGTATACAGATAGTCTCCTCGTTTCTTAGAGTAAAATGAGAAGAAATGACTTGAGCCTCGATTTTCTGGAGACCCCGATAATGACGTCATCCACGTGACATAAGCGGTCGAGGTAACCGAAACGTCCCGTCGGTACAGTTCCCCAAACCATTAATGTTTGCCAGTGGCGGTCAGCCCTAGCACCACTGAACCGTCGTCGTGAGCCTATAAATACCGGCTCTTTATTTGAATCAAAACTTTACCTTCCATCTTCACCAAGTTTTTCTAATTCTTTTCCTCTCTCCATCTCTTCTCTTTCACCATCCGTTGAGTTATTACGTTAGTATCAAAACAAAAATTTCGCCTCTTTCCACTTTATCTCATCTGAATCAATGGTGAAAACTTCCAAAATCGTCCCACAAAAGGAGAAAGCTTCTTCTTCTTCTTCTTCTTCTTCTTCTTCTCGGGCGGCTGGTGACAAAATGCCGGTGAAACCACTCCCTCACGAGTATGTTTCTGGCCCTTGTTCTAAAAAACGACTTCAAAGTCGAAAACCTTCCGTCAGCCCCCGCCGATGCGAACACATATCGAGGTATATTTGCTCGATAATGGCGAAACAGATCGAGGCTGTAAAGAAAGACTGCAACTGGGGGGCCGAGGTCGTGGTACAAATCCCTGCTCCCGAAGAAAGTATTACCACTCACGTGGAGGGGTTCCTAAGTGTTTACACTTACCCCTTCACATTGAGTCTTCTTGAGCCAGTTGTCCTCGATTTCTTCAAGATGTACCAGGTTACCCTCGGCCAGGTGCATCCCTCGTTCTAGCGCATAATGATCATGCTCCGTTTCTTCTCTAGCAAGGCTAGGGGTTGGAATTCACTCTCAGCCACCTCATACGGTTGTATCGACCTCGACTTTTTTGAGGATTAATGAAACTCCAATGCTGGCCAACGAAGTCCTTTTTTGCAATCATCGATGAAGATGAGGATCGAGGTTGGATGAGCCGGTTCGTGCGGGTAAGGAACTGCGACATCATCCCCGAGGAGAAACTGTCGTTCCCCGAGAAGTGGAACTTCGATCGTAAGTAATGCATTACCCATTAATCTTCGTACTCTATTTTCTGCTTTATGTAATACTTCTCTCTATTATGCAGCAGTTTCCTGGATGCCTCATGCGGTACCCGACCTTGAATACTGGGTTCGGAAGCTGGCTGCGACTTCCTCCCATGCCGAGCACTACTGGCGTGATTTGGCACGGGGCAGATGGGAGGCCAAGAATCATGGTAAGTTTATCCTGCAAGCCCTTGGTGACCTTTTCTGTAAAGTTTTTCTTTGTTCACACTTGGCCTTTTTTTTCTTTTTATGCAGGCCTCGGGGACGTTGCTGAGATAAGGTCGGCCCTGCCTGGGGAAGAGGTGGCTCCCAAACCGGCTAAGGACAAGAAAAGGAAAAAGGCCTCATCTTTTGACACCCCGAAGCCTAAGAAGAGCAGGGCCCATAAATCGAAGGATGACTCCACCGCTTTATCTGCCGACGTAGCCCAAAAGCTACGAGATGAAGAAGAAGAGGAGGAAGACGTCGTTTCTGAGTTGGTACCTCGAAAGAGGGGGAGCGTCGAAGCTTCAACTGCGGCAGGGACAGTGATGGCCGAGGAGACTCACCCTCGGACCGAGGAGATCTCGGAAAGCACTCCGAGCAAAGCCCCCGAGTCATCGGGGGTAAAAGATACTTCCTGCCGTGATAAACAAACGACGAGTGTGCCCGAAGGGTCCGGTAGTAGGGCTCTTCGGAAGGGAGAGAGCACCTCAAGTGACTCGCTTGGGGCAATTTAATATTGATGATTCGCCACCCAGCCCTGAATTCTCTGAAGGGCAGTTTTGGGAGGCTCGATCTTTAGAGACCCCTGATGTGGGGAACGACTCACGATGGGGAAGACATATTTCGTGGGTGCCTTGCGGGCGTTTTCGACCTAGATGTGACAATGGTTTTTGACGAGGCCCATCGTATTCTGAACTAGGTAATCTTCATTCCTTGTTATTACGTTTGCTTTTATCTCTTCCTTGCTGATTTCTTTCCTTTCTTCATAGGATGTAGTTCTTCATCGGGAAGCATTCAACAAGTCCCAAGATGAGCTGAGCCGGTGCGAGGCCGATCTCAAAAGGCTTTCTAAGGAGAGAGATGCCCTCAAACGCCTCTATGTGCAAAAAGAAGAAGAGCTCAGAGATCTTCGAGCTGAATTGGCCTAGGCTCATAAGGAAGAGGCCGAGCTAGACGAGCAGGTAACTAACCTTTTGAAAGAGTACGGTCTCGAGTAGGGCTGCTTATCGGGCGGATTGGGCGGTCATTTACTCTTAACGGTTTGGCTTATCGGATCAGCTTTTAAATATATTAATTTGCTAGCCACCCGATAAGATATCGGGCGGATTGGTATCGGTTTAGCTCTTATTGAGTGGTTTAATGGCCTAGCATACATATTCAGAAATCGAAATTACACCAGATATACATGTCTGTTAAAAAAACAGAACACATCATTTGAGAGTGAAAAAAGCAGAACTAGGTTGATTACATATGAGTCTACAACAATTAAAGTTACAGTAAACGAAATAAACTAGGCTGATTATTGATTACATATTATTTGAGATTCAAAAAGGCAGAACTAGGCAACTTGTTGAATGAAAAAGTTGTTGCTCAACTAGAATCCACACTCCTGTTGGACATCTCATTTTTATCGCTTGACTCTTTTTCTTTCTATATTCCACATTTCTCACTTCAATTATAGAAAACAAAAACAAACCAAATTGTAACTTCAAAGCCAGAAATCCCTAACAGAAACAAAGAAATGGCAGCCACCATACGTACCATGGCCATGCTCAACGTCAAAGAAATGGCAGCCATCACAGTCTCATAGTTTTGATACAACGTTCAATGCTAATCAAGTACATGACTAGCAATACTTGCAATTTACTTACAACTGAAGACAAATTGACAATCTTTGGAAATCCAATTCACAAGCTTGATCATTAATGTCATGGATTTCCCAATGCAAGGTCATGCCATGTATCCCCATCAACTTGTTGAGCCTCTTGATTTGCAAACGGATATAAATCAATCATCCAAAAAAGAGAACTGATAGGAAGTAGCCAAGATGAAAATAACCAAAAAAATAAACATGGCAAGAATTTCTCACATGAGCAACATTAAAAACATATTAATTATGATCTGTTAACTCAATAATATGTAATATTCCTGATATCATAACTCAACAAAATGTGAGTGAACAAGCAAGGATAATCAGCATTGGGACTGAGATGCAGATACCACTGAAGGGAACACCACATCAAGTTACTTATTTTGCTGAGAAGAATCTTTACCCAATTATAGTTTCAGTTCTAGTGAGTATATGTTCCTGCTTCTGTTATCTGTTCTTGGTTTGTTAATAATATCTTAATATATGTTGTAAGGCTGGTAATTTCAGAGATGAGGTATAAACCTTACACCAACGTGAATATTACATAACCTTCCCACGCATGAATGCACAACATATTAGTCGACTACAGTTATGGTCAGCTTTCTGTGTGACCTCCAGAGAGCAAGAATTCCTCATATGAGAAACATTGAAAACGTAGTAATTATGATCTGTTAGCTCAATAATATGTAATATTCCTGTTATCATAACTCAACAAAATGTGAGTGAACAAGCAAGGATAATCAGCATTGATAATAAATACAAAGAAAAAGCCACTCGGATCAGGGCTTGAATTCCAACTTCAAGCACAGCTTGAATGATAGGAAAGTGTACATGTCACATGTTAGAGGGCACAACATTGGCCTAAATTCGAATTCTTACAAGATATATTAACACTACACGTCAATTACGGAAGGGTCTTTTCCATTGCTGGCTAACTCTGAAGAAAAAAATTAAAATAATGAGTCGTGCGATAAATATAAGCATATCAACAACACTTATATACAACAAATATAGTAACAATATTATTACCTTGTTCAAGCTGATCGATTTTATCAAGATCTTCCTCAACACTAATAGGTTGTTTTAATTTTTCATTTCGAAGCCAATCTTGAAGACACACTAGAGCTTGCACCAATTTAGGAGTTAATGAACTCCTAAATGAATCAAGAAGACGTCCTCCTGTACTAAACGCACATTCGGATGCCACACTTGAAACCGGAACAGCTAATACATCACGAGCCATCTCCGCAAGAATAGGAAATCTAGCTGAGTTCAATTTCTACCAAAGAAGAACATCAAATTCTTTAGTGTCATCCTCAATTTCTTCACCTAAATATTTATCTAACTCTGTTCTAGTATCAACACCTCCACTCCCACTTCTATATTTTTTTATATCTTGCATGAGTGATTCTAAACGTCCTATATTTTGGGTGCTTGCTTGACTGCCAGAAAGCCCGGAAGTCGAAGTGTCCAATGAAGAACAATCTGAAGATAAAGCAAGCACAACACCTTTTGAGCTGGACTTTACATACTCACTAAATAATGAAGTCATGTACTTCGTCACTTCTGCTTGTATAGGTGCCCCCTGATTTATACCAAACATCTTTACAAGTGCATAGCCAACCGATTCGATCTTGTAAAGTGGATTCAAAATATATGAGATAAAAATTATCTTGTTCATTTTCCCTGGATCACCCCAATACTTATCAAACTTTTTTTTCCATATTCTCTGCCATTTCACTTAAAACTGTATCTTCATTTTCTATCAATTACTTCAAATAAACAGCAACAGCGAAAATTTCAAGAAAATGAATATTCGTTGTAACATAACGTGATCCAGATATCTTCAAAGTAAGAAGATAGAAGATTTCAAGAAACTTTGTAATTCATTTTACATTCTCCCGATCACTACTAAAAAGTTCACCTGTAGGAATCCCAACATCAATATAAGAATGCTCAAGATAATGTCTTAAGCCAATTTTACTAGAAGCATAATGTGAAAATACACTTTCAAATTCAACAGCCCTGCGCAACATCAAGTAGGTGGAATTCCATCTAGTTGGAACATCTAAGCATAAAGTTTTTTTGAATTGAGTTGTTCAGCATCAAAACATTTTTGAAACCTCTTCAACCTCGCAGGAGATTGCCTAACATATCGCACTGCATGCCTAACACGTTCAATAGACACTGAAGATTCTTTTAAACCATCCTGGACCACAAGATTCATGATATGATCCATACATCTCACGTGAAGGTGAGTACCATTCGTCAAATTAGTTCCCATTTTTGTTAATTGCTTAGACAATTCTTTTATTGTCACATCATTTGAGCTTGCATTATCAACTGTGACAATGAAGATCTTATTTATCCCCCACTCACGTAAGCACCTACCAATACCATTTGCCATATCTTCGCCTTTATGACTAACAATAGGACAAAAATTAATTATTCTCTTATGCATATTCCATTCACTATCAATCCACTGGGCAGTGACACACATGTAATTGATGGTAATACATACTCCTTGTTTTGTTTCTATAAAAAACCTCTTCAACTTTTGCTTTTCTTTATTAAAAAGATCAAAACAATCCCTAGTTACAGTACTACGGGAAGGGATCCGAAAATAAGGCTGCGCCACTTTCATAAAGTCTATAAAACCTTCTTTCTCAACAAAGCTAAAAGGAAGCTCATCAACTATTACCATACGACATAACACCTTCCTACATTTTTCTTGATCAAATTTCCAAGCAGCAACAGCTACGTCACCCTGACTACCCCCCGGCGCAGATTGAAAGCCTAAATTTGATTGTTTTTTATCAACAATAGCAGGGCGTTTAGGACGCTTAAGCATATGAGAAAGAAGTGTTGACGTACCGTCTTTGGTCTTAAATACATACTCAATAAAGCAATAGTCACATTTTGCTTTTGTACTCTCTTCAGAAGTAATAATTTCTGTAAAATGATCCCACACAACAAACCTTTTTCTCCTTTTTTTGGTTATATTTGACTCCATTGTTTGAGCTTGACTTATTGCATTTGAATTAGAAGCCCACTTTCACACATCATCACCTTATCACTTTGTATATTTTCAGCCATGTATGAGTCACTACAACAAAAAAAGAAAATGAATGAGAATAAAGACATCAAGTAGTAATGGACTAGTTTTCAGCCATGTATTAATCGATGGAATAGGTTAGGAATGAGAATAACACTTTACTTTTTCCCAGATTGTGACCATTCCCTAAAAGAAAAGCTCCTGGCACAACTCAAAACAAAACTCACAAAGGAACTTGTGCCATGGAATTCAACAACCAAGAAGGACTTGTGAGTTCTTGGATTTCCAATTATAGAGGATCAAATGATAGAGAACCCTCTCTCTTTTTTCACCTTTGGCCCTGCTACGTCCAAGGTCCAATATTTGTGGTCCAACAACCATTATCATGTTCATTTCAGAGTAATCTTAGCCTAGAAATCACTCAAGTACCAAAATTTTAAACAAGACTAGCCTCTTCTTTTTCAATTTTAAGGTAATTAAATCCTTTTTCTTGCCCTTCCTTAAACAAAACTAGAGCATGTTCTAGCAAATAGCATTGAACTAAACGATGAAAACACAGTTATTCATGGCTTAAGCAAACCTAAATTGGACAACCAGTTTTTAATAGTAGGAGATGACTAATCTTGCGTAAGCTTCACAGCACCGACAGATATTTACATTGTCCCAAGTAAGAGAAAAGGAAGGACAAAAATTAGGAAAGAAGTTATTCTGGACTTGAAATTGGAAATATGGGTTCTTTTCGTTTTTCAAGGTATATATGTTCACATATTATATGTTCTGAGAAGGAATAGCAATAAGCAGAGATCATTGTACCATATTAATAGCTTAAGCAAACTAGTAGTAATAACTAAGAGTACCTGGATAAGAAGATAAGAAGCCGCGAGAGGGAGAGACGAGACAGCGAGAGGGAGACCGGTGGCTAGTGGAAGTCGACGACGACGAGGACTGGTGGGTGGTGGCTGCTGGTTTAGGCGTTAGGGTTTCTATGATCTTGTCTTTTTGATTATTTAGAATTAGGAATGCGTTAGTCTTAGAGAATAGAGACAGACGGGTCAAGTGTCACACCTCCTTTTTTACACACCTACCCCGAAGGATAATGTATAAGGGAGTTTTTCCATTTAAAGTGACATTATTCGAATTGGGATTATTTATTTATTTTTAGAGTCGCCACTTGGGATAGGATTGGTTTTTGGTGTCCCAAGTCACCGGTTTAATTTAAATCCCAAATCGAGGAAAATTGTCGACATCCCAATTGGAGTCTGCGAACCAGAAATTCTGTGTAAGGAATTCTGTTGACCCGAGGGAAGGTGTTAGGCACTCCCGGATCTCGTGGTTCTAGCACGGTCGCTTAAATTATTATAAATGGCTAAAAATCTAATTTTTTACATGCTCCAACCTATAGTGCAATTTTATAATTATTTACCGCTTTTTAATTATTTTTTTACGAAAGTGAACGTTGTTTAAAAACGTATTTTCGGATCACGTCACATGAAATGCACCCGGATCCTCGACACATTCTTATTCAACGTTTTTGGATTTGGATTTGGGTCGCATGAAATGCGCACCCGTATTTAGGAAGGTAAATTATTAAAAGCGTGCCTAAAGTGACTAACGTCTTTTTAACTTTGCGAAGAGCCGTGAACTTCGCTAAACGGCACGCTCCGAATGCTAAGTATTTTTAAGCAATTAATGAGGGCCCCGCAATTTGTATATTTTTGTTTGGCGAGGCTCGTCTCACTTTTATTATTTAAAGGCCAACCTAAAGCACACTAAGATTTTCTATTTTTATTTTTTGTCTCTAAAAGGGCCCAATTAATTTACATTTATAAATTCGGGCCTCAAGTTCAAGTCCGAATTCAAACAAAAGGGAGGACCCTCTTAGTTTGAACCCGCTACCTAACTCGAAAACCTAAATTTATATTGCAAATTAATTCCCCGTGTTCCTAATATAATTTTTTTTAAAGGGGTTTTACTCAACTAAAACAAACCACGAATGTTCATAATCGTAGTTCCTTTTTACCAAATCATGTTCCAGTGAAATCAACTAGGACGCATAACTTGACTTGATCACAAACTAGGCGAATTTATCCCACAAAAATGATGAGTCAGCTATACTTACCTATCAATACGTCCCGAATTATCCAACTATCATTAATATCACCTACTCACGAGGCAATACTTTGCTAAAATACCTCTCCCTCATAGAAAAACAATTAATGCAGACCTCAATTACACATTCTGCCCAAGGATAAGTCTATAGCATATTTTTTGATGTAATTGCTATTGTGTTCACTTAAAACAATTGGCATGCTCAAATATCTAACCAACAAATATAAAAGGTAAATTGGCGTAAATCTAGTTCAACAAAATAAGAGCAACTAATCCCAACATAGAATCAATGTTAAATTTAGAAACAGAGTCCAAATTTGGTTTTAAGAGATTACCCTCTCATTCCAAAGGCACAAAGAGCTGGACTCTTTCAGAAAATAGATATGCCCAAATAAAGATTGAATTTGAAGGCATAATACTCTTAACAACAACTCAACACATATATTATCATTTATAAATATGGTACAATCCCCAATATGAAATAATTGTGTGAGAAAACATCAATGAAACATTCGGTTCCGTTTAACACATCGCAAATATCACAAAGCAACAATGAATCCAAACAATTTAAAACAACCTGAAATACCGATTTTAAGTGAACAAAACAGATTTAAAACATAATACTTGACATCTCGGATTTTACTTGAGAGAAAACAAAAATAACTTTCAGTTGGAGGCGTACATACCTAAGAGCGGAACAATAACGAAAATAACAAACAAACTTCTGGAAGAGGAGAGCAAATTCGGCAGCAGTAACAGCAACAGTCCAACGACTAAATGAGTTCAAATCGACAGTAGCGGACAGCGATTCAACCACTATTGAGAGCAAGGAAACAGTTCAGGAAAAACATAATTCAAACCAACAGAAATTGAGTGATTGCTTGGAATCCTGATCTTCGCTTCCTTTGTTTGAAAATTTTCAACTTATTCCTTCAGATCTGGAGTTTCTTTTCGAGTGTTCTCACTGCTCCTTAGGGCGTGTGTTTGTGATCTTTTGAAAACAAGAGAGGGCTGGTTTGATTGTTGCGTTTTACAGCTGATTCGGAGCTATTTTTAGGGCATTTTTTGGACTGCTTTCAAGTGGTGTTTCCGCTAGTTTGAGTCGATGGCTGCTCAAAGTTAAGAAGAAGATTTTTTTTGGGGCCTCCCCTTCGCTTGGGAAGAGCCCTAGGGATCTTTTGTGTGTGTCTTTTTATGTGAAGAAGAAGATGGGTAGGGGTCACGTTATTTCCGTGTCCCTAAGTTGTGAGAGATCTGATGGGTTTTAAAAGGGAAAAATGGGTCGGGTCATGGGTTTGACCCGTTTTCTTGGGCTGGGGCGGTGAGTTTTAGGTAGTTTAGTTTGTGAGCTGACTTTGATTTGGGCTAGGTTTGGCTCGGGGTCTAGCTTATTTGGGCTGGAATTTTAAAGAGTGGCCCAAAAATTGGGTCTTTATTAAAGCTTTCATTTTCTTTTAATTTTCTTCTTTTTTTCCTTCTTTTAAATTTCATTTCATTTTCATTTAATTTTTTTTAGATTTTTGTTAAGATAAAATGAGAAGACCTGATTTAACTCTAATTTTCTAAAATTAAATAAATCTTAATTTAAAAAGAAAACTAAGGAAAAATCGAAAAATTAAACGTAATAATGCAAAAAGACTATTTTTGTTATTTTCTTCTTATTTTGTAATATTAATTAACTAATAAAACTAAAAATGTAAAATGGAGTCTTAAATGCAAAGGTACTATATTTTTGTATTTTTATGAATTATACCAACTAAAGATGCACATAAAAATGCAAACAAACACAAATTTATGCAATCAAAAATCCTAAAAATCAAATAATTAACCGAAAAATCCTAATTTTATGTATTTTATAGGAATAATTCAAGCGAGGCAAAAATCACGTGCTCACAGCTGCCCCTCTTTGCTCGTAGACACGAAGGGTTTTCGGGCAAAGATAAATGAGCAACTATGGGATTTTTGCCTGCTTGGCAGTCCATGAGAAGCATTTTTTGAAAAAGTTTGACCGAACCTTGCTTCAGAGGTTGCCTACATATCCTTGGCTATAAAGGAATCAGGTCAGTGTAGTTCTGGAAGGTTTGGTAGCTGGGACTACCAGGAGCTGTGAATTTCACTGCTGTTGCTGCTGCTACTGCTTGCTGACCTCCTTATTACACCAAAATGGAAAAAAATAGCTAAGCTAGCTAGGCCTATCAACTACGAGTTACAAGATTCCTATCTATAAATCTCTTGAAGCTTGATCTTGAGTCTTAGCTGGTTTTTGCTGTTGACTCCGATATGAATCTTGATGCTCGCCAGCTGCATGTGCTGGTTATTTCTTCAGCTCTTGGATCAAAGCGGGACATGCGAATCTTGTGACGTTAATTTCATTCAAGAGCAGTCCGCATCTTTGTCTGCTTCAGCATTTTGAATTCGCTTCTTTTTTTGTTCTTTTCCATCTTTTCTTTATTCTGGACTGAGGCTCATTCTTTCGGCTACTTCGGATCCTGTGCCATCGAAGTCAAACTTGCTCAGCTGCCAAAACAAACAAACGAACGAAATTTTCTGCCCCAGTTTTCACTAGGAAAATTTCGTGAGTTAGTTGTGACACATATCTAAGCAGTCAAATTAGGATTTGTGTATTTTTGTGAATGAATCCAGGTTATGCTGAAAAATGACTAGGTTATGCCGGAAAAAGAAAAAGGGTCTCGGGTTATGCCGGGACGAAAAGAAAAAAAAGATCCTCGGGTTTTGCCGGGATTTGGAAAGAAAAAACTCCTTGGGGAATGCCAGGGAGATCCTCGGTTTTTTGGCCGGGATCTGGAAAGAAAAAGCTCCTCGGTTTTTTGGCCGGGAGATCCTCGGTTTTTTGGCCGGGATTTGGAAAGAAAAAGCTCCTCGGTTTTTTGGCCGGGAGATCCTCGGTTTTTTGGCCGGGATTTGGAAAGAAAAAGCTCCTCGGTTTTTGGCCAGGAGATCCTCGGTTTTTGGCCGGGATATTTAAGGAATGGGATCCTATGCTACCATGATCTGTTTTTCTTTTGGGATTTTTATTTTTATTTCTTTTCTTCTTCCTTTTTCTTTTGTTTTCCTCTTTTATGTTTTCCTTTTTATTTAACGAAACACATGAAAAAATTTGGGGGAAACTTCTTTTTTGGTCATTTTCCTGTTGCAAAGCTGTTTCAGCGCTTGCGCCTTTCATTTCCTTTTGGATTGCACCTGCTTCTTGCACGGTTGCTTTGAATTAGACCTGCTTCAAACAAAGAACTATTTGTTAGTTTGAAACAGTGGTTGGTTTTGTGGCCTTGATCATCTCAATTGTTTGATTCCGGCCCCATTTCCGTTGAGAACTTTGCTGCTCGTTTGCCTTGAGGGTGAATCTCTTTTCAAACCGACCGGGTTCAGCCTTAGGACTTCATGATGACTCGCCCGTGTGGGCTCTAGCCTTTTCACTTTATTCTACCCTTGGGACCTTTGCCTTTGACTTCCTTTTTTTCCCAACATTTTTGCTTTGAAAGCATCAACCACCATGGTCAGTCGGGATTGGCCTGACGCACTCGCTGAGGCTGGGTATTTTCTTCGGCTCTGATCAGGCGGAGCCCTGTGAAGCTGGTCCTGCCACCTTTTCTTTGTACTAGTTACGGAATCAGAGTTAAACCGAAAGGGATTCAAAGAAAAAGTATGCAAAAGGCAAGCATATGATTTTAAAGAGAAGCGTCCCTTTCGGGGGAAAAGAAAGACTTATCTGGGGTGCATGCTGGCTTCAAATGAACATGACATGCTTCTTGGACTGGACGCCCGACCCACACAAACTTTCCAGCTTCTCGTGAACCCATTGTTCCGCATTTCAAAACGAGGGAACCTTGCCAGGACTCTTTCAGTGATGAGATGTCTTCTTTTCGGCCACAGCGCCCTTTGCGGGTTTTCGCCAA